GTGGCGATGCCCTTTGCGGGTGTGAGGGAGGGGATGGGGCTGTCGCTTTGGCTGAAGGGGGCAGGAGGTGGGGAGCGAGGCTCTGCCCATGGTGGGGAGAGGGATGTGGCAGGGCCACAGGGAGGGTCGGCCTGGAGGCAGGTAGGAGACCTGGGTTGGTTGGTAGAGGGGTGCCCTTTCCCACAGGGCCTGAAGTGCAGCACCACCTTACGGAGCTCATGGAGTGTATGTTGCAGCCTCTGAGGAACCCCAGCAGCTCCCGGGCCAAGGAGCTGGCTGTGAGCGCCCTGGGGGCCATTGGTGAGTCGGAGGCAGGAGGTGGGAGCATGGGTTCACTCCGGGTGCCTGCGGCAGGTGGTGCCTGCGGCAGGTGGTCCCTGCTCACTGTCCAGCTCTGATTCTGCCCTTCCGTGCCGCAGCCACGGCTGCCCAGGCCTCCATGCTGCCCTACTTCCCCACCATCGTGGAGCACCTGCGGGAATTCCTGTTGACAGGCCACGAGGACCTTCAGCCTGTGCGGATCCAGAGCTTGGGTGAGCGAGGCACTCCTAGGCCAGCTTCCCAGTGCTGGGGAAGGGCCGAGGCTCACCTGTCGTTCACGAGAGTGCCCCGGGGCAGCTGTGCTTGCACCGTACCCAGGAGTAGAAGGGATTTGTGAATCCCCCCACCCCCGCCCAGCTATCTCTGGTCCATCAGGCCTTGGCCCTGCACACCTCTGGCCTAGTGCCTCATCCTGGTGCTAACCGAGCCCTTGCCTCTGCAGAGACACTTGGGGTACTGGCGCGAGCAGTAGGGGAGCCCATGAGGCCCCTGGCTGAGGAATGCTGCCAGCTGGGGCTGGGCTTGTGTGACCAGATAGACGACCCTGACTTGCGGCGCTGCACGTGAGTGAGCCCTCACCCCGCCCCGACCCAGACCCCAGTCCTCTGGTTCTGGACCGTGGGTTCCCCAGGCTCCCCCATCCTGTCTGGCTACAGCAGGTAGGACTATACAGCTTCCGCCTGTCTCCGCCAGGTACAGCCTGTTTGCAGCCTTATCGGGGCTGATGGGTGAAAGCCTCGCTCCCCACCTGCCACGAATCACCACACTCATGCTGTTGTCACTGCGTTCCACCCAGGGCATTGTGGTGAGCAGACAGGGTGGGCTGAGCCAGGTGGGGACGGCCGGGCCTGGGATGGGATCTCTCTCCTGGGCCCAGCTGAGCCAAAGTCCCTGCTGTGCCTCCCCATTCCAGCCTCAGTACGCTGGAAGCAGCACCTTCCTTCTGTTTGACGACGAGTGCGGTGGGGAGGAAGAGGAGGAGCTCGTGGAGGAGGACGAGGAAGAGGAGGAGGACTCGGAGGTCTCAGGGTGCGGAGGCTGCCGTTCTGGTCTGGGGGATCCTGGCTTGGACAAGGGCCCAGGGCCAGCTCTGCTTCTCCTGGCGCCTGATTGCTGCTGCCTCCCCACCTTACTCTAGGTACAGCGTGGAAAACGCCTTCTTCGATGAGAAGGAAGACGCCTGTGCTGCGCTGGGGGAGATCTCTGTGAATGCCAGGTGAGCGTCAGCCTCTCCTCGGCACTGGGAATCTCTCCTGGGAGCCCCTTCCCCATGGCGGTGTGTCTGTCCACAGTGTGGCCTTCCTTCCCTACATGGAGACTGTCTTTGAAGAAGTGTTCACGCTACTGGAGGTGAGTGGGGCGGGGGGCGGGACGGGTGGGGTCTGGGGGCTAGGAGCTGTGCCGGCCCTGCATGCAGCACACACGTCCTGCCCCTCCTTGTGCCGCAGTGCCCTCACCTGAGCGTGCGGAAGGCAGCCCATGAGGCCCTGGGTCAGTTTTGCTGTGCGCTGCACAAAGCCTGTCAAAGCTGCCCCTCGGAACCCAACACTGCTGGTGAGAAGGCGAGGCTGGGGCCCGGCTGGGGCCTCTGGAAACAGCGGGTGGGTGGGGAGGGTGCAGGGGCTGGCCAAGGCTTCAGCCAGTCGTGTCCCCAGCTCTGCAGGCTGCCTTGGCCCGGGTGGTGCCATCCTACGTGCGGGCAGTGAACGGGGAGCGGGAGCGCCAGGTGGTGATGGCCGTGCTGGCGGCCCTGACAGCGGTGTTGCGTGGTTCTGGGAGCTTGGCGTTGCAGCCCCCTGGGCGGCTTGCTGAGATCTGCCACACACTCAAGGCTGTGCTGCAGAGGAAGGTGAGGGGCTGGTGGGCTGCAGGGTGAGGTGGCGGCCCAGCCTTGGGTGGGGCTAGCCGGAGGCTACCAGTCCAGCTTCCACCCACGGAAGGGAGAAGGGGCAGGAGAGCCCAGACTGAGCTGAGTGCCCTCTTCCTGCAGACAGCTTGTCAGGATGCCGACCAGGAGGAGGATGAGGACCATGTAAGAGCTACGGGTGTAAACTGGAACCAGGCAGCCCAGTTGGTCTCCACGGGGCGAGGTGGACAGTGTGCTTGGCTTGGCCTGGGGGTACGGGGCTTGCTAAAAGATTGGCAGTGGTTCGGAACAACCAACCCCACTCCCACTAAGGCTTCCCGGGGGTGGGGATTCCAGGCAGGCTTGGATTGATAGTGGGAGTAGGAGGACCAGGAGGGAAAGCTGGGCTGCAAACAAACCCAGCCTGGAAGGAGCCAGTCCTGTCAACCAAGGGCAGCCCTCAGGGAGACCACCTGCAGCCGTGGAGGAATACGGTGGGAGGTGCCCCCAGTCTGAGCTGGCCCTGGTGTCCAGCCTCTGACCTGGCCCTGCAGGCTGAATACGACGCCATGTTGCTGGAGCATGCTGGTGAGGCCATCCCTGCCCTGGCCGCTGCGGCCGGGGGAGATGCCTTTGCCCCCTTCTTTGCCGGCTTCCTGCCATTATTGCTCTGCAAGACGGTGAGTGCTCTGTTTTCTGCCTGTGCACCCTGTGCTCAGTTCCCCACTTGGTCCCAGTCCCAGGCTGACTCGCACTCCTCACCCCACCAGAAACAGGGCTGCACAGTGGCAGAGAAGTCCTTTGCGGTGGGGACGCTGGCGGAGTCCATTCAGGGCCTGGGTGCCGCCTCGGCCCAGTTTGTGTCCCGGCTGCTCCCCATGCTGTTGAGCACTGCCCGGGAGGCGGACCCCGAGGTGCGGAGCAATGCCATCTTTGGGCTGGGCGTGCTGGCAGAGCACGGGGGTCGCCCTGCCCAGGAGTATCCTCGGCTTGCAGGAGGGGGCCCAGATGGGGTTGGGAGGGTGTCCCTGGGGTTTGGGATGGGAGCAGTCTCCCCGTGTGCCTGTTCCTTGACTGTGAACCAGACACTTCCCCAAGCTGCTGGGGCTCCTGCTGCCCCTCCTGGCAAGGGAGCGCCATGATCGTGTCCATGACAACATCTGTGGGGCACTTGCCCGCCTGCTGATGGCCAGTCCCACGAGGAAACCAGAGCCCCAGGTGAGGGGTGGGGGCGTCAGGCAGGACCAGGGAGCTGAGGAGGGTGCAGGGCTGGAGGCCAGAGTCTTCTGTGTGTCCAGGTGCTGGCTGCCCTGCTGCACGCCCTGCCACTGAAGGAGGATTTGGAGGAGTGGGTCACCTTAGGGCACCTCTTCAGCTTCCTGTACCAGAGCAGCCCTGACCAGGTAACCCTGATACTGGGGCCCTTAGAGGGGGTTTGATGCTCCAGTCTCATTGAAAGGCAGGGTTGGCATCAGTTTAAGCTGCTCTTCTCGGCTTTCTTGTTGCTGTGCAAGGATTGGCAGCCAAGGCCTTTAAGCGGGGAGGAGGGGCTTCCTCTCACCGCGTAGCATTTTTCCTCAGGGAGGTTTCATTTCTACCCTCTGGTCTGAGCCAGAAGTCACAGCTTTCCTAGGTCGATTTCCTAGACCAGGCTCTTCGACTGTGCTCCATGGAGCCTGGGCCCTTTGGGCCACCCCACCATCCTTTCCAGTCAGAGCACCTCTGCTTTCTGAATGAGATTTGTCTGCATCCAGTGGCTAGCTTTGGGACGCATGTCCCAGTGCTCTTGTGTCCATCACCTTTGTCTTACATCTTCGCAGACTACTGTGTGGGTGGAGCTCCTGAGTGTCTGGGCTTCTTTTGGTCTTAAGGCTGTGATTTCAAATACCTTTGGTCACGGTCTCATGCTCTCCGAAAAACAAAACACATTACCACCACCCTGTTTCAGGGTTCTTCTCATGGTTCACGGTTTTTTGGCATGTGTGTTAATCAGCATTGCTCAAACAGCCCAGGTGGGAGACTGCCTCTCCGGGGCTCCTACCACCCACCCCAGTGCTGGGGCCCAGGGGTGCTTCTGCCCGAGTCAGCCCTTCTTTCCCGACAGGTTGTAGGTGTGGCTCCAGAGCTCCTGCGCATTTGCAGCCTCATCCTGGCTGAGAACAAGGTCCCACCAGGTGACGGTGGCAGTTGTGGGCAGGGCTGGGGGGAGGCGGGGAGCAGCAGGGCTCAGGGGGCCTGGGGCAGCTAGGGGTGGGGGGCCAGCCCTCCCCAGACTCCTCCCCCTTCACTCTCCACCCAGACACCAAGGCGTCGCTGCTGCTGCTGCTCACATTCTTGGCCAAACAGCACGCTGACAGCTTCCGCTCAGCACTGGGCTCCCTGCCTGGCAACAAGGCCCAGGAGCTCCAGGCCATCCTGGGCCTCACCTAGACTGCGGGCTGCAGCTGGGCCAGAGAGAACAGAGCCTGCCCACGCCTGAGGCCAGCTCTCTGCCCAGTTCCAGCTCACGCCTTACCAAAGATTCTGGGCCTGGGCCTCATACCCACTTGGAGTCTCAGCCCTATTTGCTGCCTTACTGGGGTGGCCGCTAGGGCTGGGTCTGTCGTGCTGGGACAATACAAACGGAGTCATGACACCATCCTGTAATAAAGGCAGTTTATTTTCTTCTTGAACAGTAGTGCTGGGAGCAGGAAGGATAGAGATCCGTGTTCAGAAGTGAGGCAGGACATTGTTTACCATAGCCGGTTCCCTGGCAGCTTTGTAAATTGGCTCTAACCGCAGTGGAATCGGGGCCCTGGCTGGATCAGGAGGCGCCCATATGGTTCCTCTTGTTTCACACAAAGGATCTGCTGTGCAGCAAGCACTGGTCAAGAGGGGAGAGGGCTGGTCAGAGGAGAGGGTCCCTACAGCAGCCGCTGGCCTGTGTGTCCACTCCCCACCCCCCACACAGGCACACACGTTCCTCGCTCACCCAGGAGCAGGTAGAAGACCCGGGCGGCCACCTTGCGGGGACTGAGAGGTGGCACCAGGCTGCTGAAGTCAGGCTCCCTGTTGGCCTGCAGCTCCCGTGCCACTGCCCTGTGGGGGTCACGAACTGTGAGCTGAGGCTGCAGCCCAGGCCGCCCACGGAGGCATTCCCTTCCTGGTACCTGTGCACAGCCTCCAGCGAGAGCGGCTCAGGCTCTGGGGGCAGCTCCACAGGCATCTCCACAGGCACCTCAGGGAGCTCAGGCACCACGGGCAATGCAGGGGCTTCTGGCTGCTCTGCCTCAGCCCAGGCCCTAGGAGAACACGGGAGTTGGGTGGAGCAGGGAAAGTGGCAGCTGTGACAGTGACGAGGGGCACACCCATCCTAGCTGGGGCTGCCGCTTACCAACGTTCTTCCAGGGGGACGAGGCTGATGCGGGTCTTCTCCTCAGCCGCTTCTAGGGAGATCTCTGTCAGGGAGAGGGGAAGGTCCTGAGTGGGTTGGTTTGCATCTGAGCAGTTGGGATTTGGGGGCCACCTGGTCCACCTGGGTGCCAGAGCTGGCAGTGACTTGTTAAAAGCACGCAGGGGGTGGGGGGAGGGGACTGAAGAGACTCAGTCTGTGCTTCCTTATGTTAAGTGCGCTGATGAGAACTGTCAGCAGTTGGGGCACCAGTTTCCTGGGACAGTGGTCAGGGTGGTGGTCTCCACCATCCCTTTTCCAGATACTTACCTGAAGGCAGCACGAGGGGCCCACTGGGCTCCAGGGCCTCCCTCAGGACCTGGAGATGACAGAAGGAGAACTAAGACCCCAAGCCATCACAGAAGCACCGGGGGCAGGGGTGAAGCAGGTCTAGCCCTGAACCAGCCTGGCTGGGACCTGGTGCCCATGGCTCACGTGGGCAGAAAAAAGCAGGCTGTTGGAGCTCGGGCAAAGCAGGAAGGAGTGAGGGTGCCGTTACCTCGATATCGCTCGGAGTTTCAGCCTTTCTCCTTTCCTCCTCAGCTGCCGCCTCCCTCTCAGCTTCCTCTTCCTCAGGCTCAGGGGGCGGCCTTCTCCTGAGTGCTAGCGGGAGTGGCTGGGCACAGTGGGTCCAGAAAGCCAGCAGTTCTTGGGGTAGCCGGCCAGCTGAGGACGGGGCAGCATGGAGAGGGTTTGAGGCGTGAGGAACACCAGGAGTGAGGGATAGGAGTTCAGAGGATCCCACACACCAGCTCCCACCATTCCTCACAGTGAGTCGGGGTTCGGAACAGCTCTGCAGGGCTCGTGATCATTCTCTCAGGAGGCTGCACCATTGGCTGTGTGGTGGGAAAGGCCAGAAGCCCGGTTAGGAAGGAGCCACTGCTCCTTACCCACCTGCAGTGCCTTGTTCCAGGGCCTCTGGCCTGCTAGCTCTTTCAGGCTCGTTCTCTGCTCGTTGCTAAAAGGACTTTCAACTGATGCCCTTGGATGTGCTAGACGGGGTAATGAAGTGGTATGTGGGCAAACCTCCAACATGTGCACTTTGGGGACTGTTCTCATGGCCCCCCTGGGAGTTTAGGAGGCCCAACGTGTACCTGCCTCCCTCCATCCCTCCAGAGCCTGGGCTGTACTCACACACTCCCGGCAGTGGGCTCTGGTTTGCATTTGTTCCAGGAATTCCTTCCGGGGTATCTGGGTCTCCCGGTCCCAGAATAATAACTGGCGGCGGCGGCGGCGAGCAGGTGGGCTCCTGGGAGGTGGGGAGACTGGGGGCCTCCTCCGCTGAGGGGGGAGGGGAGGTGGGAGCAAGGCTACCCGTTACTCCTTTCCCTGTGGTCTTCGTGGACTGCAGACATGCCCCAACCTGCCGTCCCTAGCGGTGCCCTGGGAGAGGGCTTGGGTGGGGCCTCTGGGAGCGGGTGCAGCTCCCACCCTGTATGAGGGGCCCATCCCGATCAAATGGGGTGTGGACAGGGACACCTTTTACTAATTTGCTCAAAGGCCTATGGAAGCTAGCAGTGGCCTTTGGCTTGGGGAAACTGAAAATGGGTGAGCAGTTCTGGCAGACGAGGGCGAAAAGGAGGCAGCTTGGAGGAGCATTACTCACCTCTGGGCTGGGTGGGGCTGGCAGACGCAGCTCCAGCGGGGGTGTTACCTCTGCAAAAACACTCGAGGTCCCAGCTCTGCCCCACACCCTTTGTCCTCAAAGCCACCCAGGCGAGATGCTAGAGAGTCCTCCCTTCAGCAAGTTAGAATACGGGGCCACTGGGAAGGACCCTGGCATGGCAGGTACTCACCAGGAAGTAGGGCCTCGGGCTCCCAGCCTGGTGGCTTCAGCTCCTCGGGGACCCGAGCTGGAAGTGGCTCTGCAGCCTCCTCCACCCTGAGGGGAAATGGGCAAGAGAATGAAGATACCCTCCCAGCAATGACCCCTACCTGGCCCCAGGGGGTTCCTGCCCTTACTCTGCAAGAGCTAGAGGTGAGGGTGGGGGGCTTGTGATCTCCCTCTCTGGGGCCCGGAGCTCCTCTTTGTACTCTGTGAAGAGAAGGTCAGGGCTCAGAACACAGAAGAGATGGGAACACTGCCCAGCCCAGACTGCCGACCATCCAGCACCGGGCGGGCCCTACGTGGCCAGATGGACCTGCCTAGCCGACGTTCCTCTAACAAGATGGCTTCCTCCTCCTCTGCGATCAGCAGGTCCAAGTCTCGGCGGCTGATCTCTGGGAGGTCCCGTTCACCCTGTTAGGAGAGGGAGAACCAAGGTGAGGGGACTCAATTCCATTTCTGTCTGAGGGAGATGCCACAGGGCTGGGCCAGACCGAGGAAGCCCGTGGGTGCTCCGGCGCTGGGGGCAGTGGTGGGGAAACGGAGGTGGAGAAGGCAGGACTCCGGGGGCATAAGGAAGCAGATGCAGGGGGGCTGGGCCAGCAGAAGCAGGACTCGGGCCTCAGGCTCCGTGTGCAGGGGGTCAGCTCACCTCAATCTTTAGCATACGTATGGGCTCCACCTCCAGGAGCGTGATGGCCTCGGGAGACGGTGCAGTGACCAGAATCTTTTCTGGAGGGGAGGGAAGTCACACCAGCCCCTGTTTCTTTCCAAGTCCCCCCACCCACGTGGTAAGGCAAAAGCATGGACTCTGGAGTCAAGTCCACCTGGGTTCTAGTCAGGCCCCAGCTAGTCACTGGCAAGCTGACCCAGGGCACATCGCTTAACCGCTGTGGGCTTCACTTTCCTCATCTGTAAACTGGGGATAATAATTCTGATCTCATAGGACTCTTGTGAGCAGTAACGACATTATACACATACAGTGCCCCTCACAGGGCCTCGCTCCTGAAAGAAGCTCAAAGACAGTGATTTCCTTCAGCTTTTAGATGTTCCTCTACCTCTCACCAAAGAGAAGGCTCTCTCTGCTCACCTGGCTCTATAGGAACTTCAGGAGGGATCTCTTCAAGAACTCTCTCTGGGGTCACAGCCTCTAGGAGGTGTTGAATCTGTGGGGAGGGATTGGGGACAAAAGATAGGGTTCAGCTTCAGCGCCCTGCTTCCCCACTTTCACAACCTTATTCAGACAATGGACTGGACAGTGATAGCCCTTTATGTCTAATTCTGTGGCACTGGCAGCAGCATGCAGTGAACCCACTCACCATCCTGTTTCCTTTCCTCCCGTTCCCGCCCCGACCCAATCATCTAGACTGTGTTAATCTGTCTGTGAAAGAAGCAATGCATCCTTATGTCAAGTGCTGGGGACACAGAGGGAACAGAAAAGATTCTTGAGCTTAAGGACTATATGGTCTAGTGGGGAGGCGAGTTTGTATACCACCCCAGCAAGAGCCAGCCAAAGGATGCTGTCCACCTGAAACTAGCACAACACTGTAAATCAACTACACTTCAATAAAAGTTGTTTTGAAAAACAAAATAATTTAAAAAGAAAGAGTCAACACAAAGGATAAACAAGGCCCTAGTGATGTGCTGAGTTCTAGAACAACATTTGGTTCTGGCCAGGAGCGGTATAAAGACTTGATAGAAAAGTGTAGAAACTGAGTGCGGTCTGTAAGAGAAAAGGGGGTGACCATTATGGCCTAGGGAAACAGCAAAAGCAAAGAAGTAAATGTGGCATCTTTGGGGCATAGAGGCCAGGCTGGTGTTTGGGAGCCAAAGATGCCCAGGGGATGTGCTGAGAGATGTCTAGGGATGGCTACCTCTGGACCAGGGTATGGAGAGCCTTAAATGCTAGTATTCTGTTGGCAGTAGGGAGCAACTGGAGGTGTCCTTTTTTTTTTTTTTAACAAAAGCAATCTTAAGTTTTCCAAAGGACAGGACAGTGAAGTCCTAGCAGCCAGAGAGAATGCTTGATGTCTTATAGCTGTTGTTTCTCAGAATTGTGAAAATCAGAGTTTGTCAGTTGATTTTTTTTTTTTTTTTTTTTGGCGGTACGCGGGCCTCCCACTGTTGTGGCCTCTCCCGTTGCAGGGCACAGGCTCTGGACGCGCAGGCTCAGCGGCCATTGCTCACGGGCCCAGCCGCTCCGCAGCATGTGGGATCCTCCCGGACCGGGGCACGAACCCGTGTCCCCTGCAACGGCAGGCGGACTGTCAACCACTGCGCTACCAGGGGAGCCCTGGAGGTGTCTTTGAAGGAAGGAAGTAACACTGTCTAAGCTGTTGGGGTGTTAGGAATGGATGGACAAGGACATGAGAAACCCGGTGCCGAGGGACACTAAGGGTGTGGAGGGTGTGGATTGGGGGCTTGGCTCTTGGAATGGTGTGGAGACAAGAGCTGCCTCTAGGTTGGTCCTGAATAGGTAAGTGCAGTGCAGCAGACTTGTCTGGATGGGTCCACCATGGCAATTGCACTGCAATGACTTCTGTGGGGCAGAGCTGTAGCAGGCTCCCATCCCACCCCCACCCAAGTGTCAGACTGGCAACTCATCAGTCTGAGGTGTCCAGGGGGAATGAGACCTACCTGAGGGATTCTGAAGGGACTGGGCAGTCTGGGTTCCACAGACATCATCCCAAAAAAGGGGTCTGGAGCATCTTCCAGAGTCTCCATCCTGACCAGGTGGTTAGGCAGCAGCAGGCTGGGTCTGAGGGAGAATGGGGGCTGTCAAGGACTGAGGCCAAGCAGGGAGGTTCCCTTCCAAAGACTGGGTGGTCCCAGTCCCAGGGACACACTCACGGCTCAGTCTCCACCATATCAATGCGGATCTGCAGCTGGGCCCGGTGCAGGCGCTCCAGGATGTGCTGGATGTCCTCTGCGGGCAGGGAGGACAAGATAGGGTGCCAGCCCACGGGAGGGCAACTCAGCTCTGCCCCACCTCAGAGCCTTCTAGCCTTACCTACAAGGTACTGGCATTGTTGAGAGTAGACCCGAATGACGCCGATCTGGAGCTGGGCTGAGAGATAAAGGGAGAAGCGGGGCCGCGGCAGACCTGGCAGCGGGGGCTGCACTCGTACCAGCACGTAATTGAGGATTTCCTCGCTGGGGGAACGATGCACCCTGATCACCGCTGCGCCAAAGACCAGCCCCACAGCCCAGCGTAATCCATCCCCTGACCCACAATGGCCCCAGGCCCCTCTTGCCTTTTCTGGGCCTTACCAGGTCTTCACCACGTTCACCTTCAGGTATTCGCGCTTCACCAACCGGGTGCCGCGCGTTGCTGCTAGCCTGGAAGAAGGACGAGGAGTGAGGATGGAAGAGAAGCCCTCAGGCTGGGATCCCTGGGCGCCCCTCCCGGTGCGCCCACCCTGGCTCAGCCCTCCCTTACCAGATGGTGGCGAAGCAGCCCGTGTGGCGCTGAAGCACGCTGGGATAGTAGAACATGGTCCCTCCGGGGTTGCACCGTCGTCTACACCACTCTTCCGTTCGGATCTCAGTCCGAATTCTTCAGGGCACAGGATTTCCCAACACCCGTCGGAGACAAGGATGTGGACAAGCGGCGCAGCGAGTGCACCCAGAATGCCAAATAAACGAACCGATAAATGATGGGTGGATAAACGATTAAGGGGATAAGTAAATGGAGACGCACACTGGATACACAGGAGCAGGGACACTCTCTCCGTCCGCCCTGGGCCGGTTCGCACGCTGCGTGGGTGCTTCGTACTTACTGGGGCCTCGCGGGCTGGGTTCCAGATTGGAGATGCACAGCTCCGCGACGGGAAGCCCGAGCTGCGACCCAGACCAGGTCCGGAGGGAGGACGGGTGTCCTCCGCAGAGAAGCCGGTCTCTCGGCCTTTGCACAGCTTCGGCCCCTACCCGGTCCCGCGGCTGCAGGGCTAGATCCCGCCGCAGGGAGCGCGTGCTCTGGTGCTCTGCGCCTCCCTCCTCATTAGATGGCGGCGGCCCCCAAAGCAGCCAATGGGGAACAGGGTCAGCTTGGGGGCACTCGCTGCAGGGCGCCAAGTAGGCTGCCTGGTTGGAGGCCACAGGGGGGCTCCCGAGGCAGGCAGCGAACCAATGGGAAGAACCCTGCACGCACGGGGGTGGGGGGTGGGGGGGGGGGGGGGCATTGTGAGGTGTCCCGACCAATGGGCTGGGGGGTGGGGGGTGGGGGGGGCATTGTGAGGTGTCCCGACCAATGGGCTGTCGTCCTCGCCTGGGCAACAGGGGTTCCTCAAAGGTGCTTCTCTGCGGACCAATGAGCGGGGAGCAGACCCCAGCCTCACCTGCAGCGAGCCTGGTAACAAGGGTGCTTCAGCTACCGGGGAGGTTGCAGGGCAACCGCCACGCCCTGTTTGGGGCGCCTGACCTGCGGTTAGACCTTGCCTTTTTCCCCAAATCCCACAGAGTAGCAATTGGTTGATCCGCCTTTGTTCCCAGCCTAGGGCCTATGGTGAGCTAGGGAGGTAGAAACGGGTATGAGGTGGCCTTGGAGCCGCCCCAGGTCGTTGGGGAAGAAAGACCTCACAGGAAGCAGCGAGGGCACGGGCCGGGTCATTTCCTAAATTTGAACAGTTTAGGTTGTGGCATTCCTCACCTGGCTGTTTTCCAGTTGTGAATGTTTTCCTGGCTGAGACTTCAGTTTTGCTGGATGCAGGGCATACTTCTCGGCATACAAAAGCTGTTTTGTCTCAAAAATTCTTTGTGTAATATAAGTTGTATGGTTGTAGTTACAAATATCCCATTCCCCATGCCTCCTGCCTTCGCACAGCCATTTCTTTGGCCTAGAATATCCTTCCCAGTCTTGACTCCAGGGCATGCTTCTGCCTCTTTTATTAAGACTCAGCTCTTCACACCATACACAAAAATAAATTCAAAACGGCTTAAAGACTTAAATAAGACATGACACCAATAAAACTCCTGGAAGAGAACTAGGCAAAACATTCTCAGACATAGACTTTAGCGATATTTTCTTAGATCAGTCTCCCAAGGCAAAAGAAATAAAGCCAAAAATTAACAAATGGGACCTAATCAAACCTAGAAGCTTTTGCACAGCAAAGGAAACCATAAACAAAAGGAAAAAACCTACCGAATGGGAGAAAATATTTGCAAACTATGTGACCAACACAGGCTTAATTTCCAAAATATACAAATGGCACATACAACGCAATATCAAAAAAACCCAAAAAACCCAATCAAAAAATGGGCAGAAGACCTAAAGAGTCGTTTCAACAAAGAAGACATACTGATGGCTCACAGGCACATGAAAAGATGCTCAACATCGCTAATTATTAGAGAAATGCAAGTCAAAACTATTTATTTTACTTTATTTAAAAATATTTATTTACTTTGGCTGCATGCAGAATCTCTTAGTTGCAGCATGCAGACTTCTTAGTTGAGGCATGCAGACTTCTTAGTTGTGGCATGCGGACTTAGTTGGGGCATGCATGTGGGATCTAGTTCCCTGACCAGGGATCGAACCCCGGCTCCCTGCAGTGGGAGCATGGAGTCCTACCCACTGGATCACCAGGGAAGTCTCCCCAAACTATTAATACAATAAGGTATCACCTCACTTCAATCAGAATGGCCATGATTAAAAAGTCTACAAACAATAAATGCTGGAGAGGGTGTAGAGAAAAGGGAACCCTCCTACAGTGTTGGTGGGAATGTAAATTGGCATAGCCATAATGGAAAAAAGTATGGAGGTTCCTTAAAAAACTAAAAATAGGGACTTCCCTGCTGGCTCAGTGGTTAAGAATCCGCCTGCCAATGCAGGGGGCACAGGTTTGATCCCTGGTCCAGGAAGATCCCACATGCCTCAGAACAACTAAGCCCCGCAGAACAACTAAGCCACATGCCGCAGAACAACTAAGTAGTGCGCCACAACTACTGAGCTTGCACTCTAGGGCCCGTGAGCCACAACTACTGAGCCTGGGTGCCACAACTACTGAAGCCCGTCGCCTAGAGCCTGTGCTCCACAACAAGAGAAGCCACCGCAGTGAGAAGCCCGCACACCACAACGAAGAGTAGCCCCCACTCACCACAACTAGAGAAAGCCCACGCGCAGCAAGGAAGACCCAATGCAGCCAAAAATAAATAAATTAAAAAAAAAAATAAAAAACTAAAAACAGAGCTTCCTATGATCCAGCAATCCTGCTCCTGGGCATATATCTGGAAAAGACAAAAACTCTAATTTGAAAAGACATGTGCACCCCAATGTTCATAGCAGCATTATTTGCAACAGGCAAGATGTGGAAGCAACCTAAGTGTCCATCAACAGATGAATGGATAAAGAAGACGTGGTACATATATACAATAGAATACTACTCAGCCATAAAAAAGAACAAAATAGGGCTTCCCTGGTGGCGCAGTGGTTGAGAGTCCGCCTGCCGATGCAGGGGACACGGGTTCGTGCCCCGGTCCGGGAGGATCCCGCGTGCCGCGGAGCGGCTGGGCCCGTGAGCCACGGCTGCTGATCCTGTGCGTCCGTAGCCTGCGCTCCGCAACGGGAGAGGCCCGCGTACCGCAAAAAAAAAAAAAAAAAAAAAAAAAAGAACAAAATAATCCTTTTGCAGCAACATGGATGGACCTAGAGATTATCATACTAAGTGAAGTCAGACCGAGAAAGACAAATGATATCACTTATATGTAGAACCTAAAAAAGAATACAAATGAACTTATTTACAAAACAGGAACAGACTCACAAACATAGGGAAAAAACTTACGGTTACCAAAGGGGAAAGGGGAGGGAGGGATAAATTAGGAATATGGGGTTAACAGACACACACCACTATATATAAAATAGATAACCAATAAGGACCTACTGTATAGCACAAGGAGCTATATTCAATATCTTGTAATAACCTATGATGGAAAGAATCTGGAAAAATATATAACTGAACCACTTTGCTATACATTTGAAAGTAACACAATATTGTAAGTCAACTATAGTTTAATTAAAAAAAAAAAAAAGACTCAGCTCTTATCGCAGCCAAGCTGACCCTATTTTATTTTGTTCCTTCAATCCGGGAACTCTTGAGAGGTTCTTGTTTTCTCCATTAGTGCCTGAAACCTAGCTCAGCAAATGTTTGTCAGAGGAATGTGCAATTACCCTAAATTTACAACCACAGAATATCAAGGCTGAACGGGATTTCAAAATCTAGTCCAAGACTTGCCTTTACAGATGAGAAAACAGAGGCCCATATGGACTGTTTGTTCCAGACCACACAGCTCCTTAGTGGCAGCCTGGTTGGGTGGGAACTCTGCTCTTCTGAATTCCAGTGTTCCCAATCCCTATTCCATGGTGCTTGGCTAAATTGGTTTCTACATGATACTTACAAATTGTTTCGATCACTGTACATATACTGTCAGTGTTCATAAGTGTTCACGCTGGGGCACAAATATGATAAAGTGGGGGCACCTGCCCTTAAGGTGCTTAGGACCTAGTTTAAGAGATAAAGGACAGAGTAATTTGCTCATTCATCTGTCCATTCATTCAACAAGTATTTATTACATGCCTACCATGTGCCAGGCACTACTCTAGACACTGGGGATACAGCAATGAACAAAACAAGTCCCTGTTCTCATGGAATAGGGAAGGAGTGACGATAAACAAGTAGACAAATAGAAATGTGTGAAGTGGTAATCAGTGCTATGAAGAAAAATGAGGCAGCATAAGAGAATAGAGAATAGTGAGGGCTGCTATTTGGGTTGGGTGCTCAGGGAAGCCCTCTCTGAAGAGAGGGGGCAAGTCATGTGCTTAACTGAAGGAAGAGTGTTTTAGACAAAAGAACCAGCAAGTGCAAAGGTCCTGAGACAGAAATGTCTGGTGGGTTCAGGGAGCCTGGAGCAAAGTAACTGAGGAGAAGAATAGCAAGGGGTGAGGTTAGAAAGGAGAATGGGTCCATATCACCTTGAAGGCCATTGTAAGGATTTGGGCTCTTACCCTGAGTGAACTGAAAGCCAATGGAGGATTTCAAGCAGAGGAATGACATGATAAGATTTATGTGTTAAGAGGATCTCTTCTGTGTTGAGAATGGGCTGAAGGTGGACAAGAGTGGAAGCAGAAAAGATGTGGAAGGAAGCAGAAAGGTGTGAGAGATGATGGTGTTTGAACCAGTCTTGGTTAGGGAAGCAGAGTCAGATTCTGGATAGATTTTGAAGGGAGGAATGATAGGATTTGCTGATGGGTTGGATGTGGGGTATAACAGAAAACGAAGTGAAGGTCCAGGAGGGATTTCAGCAGGGCCTGTGCACCTGCACACTCAGTACCCAATTTCCTTACTGCCTATGCAGATGCCTGTTGGGGCTCCTGGCTTCTCAGGATGACAGTGAGGAAGGTCCAAGGAGGCAAAGGCGCAAAAGCAGTGAAGTTTGTCAGGTGAGACAGCAAGAAGTTCCTCAAGAATCTAGACATCCAGATTTGATCATGTCAGTGAGCCACTCAAAGCTTATAAAAGTGACATGACAGGAAGGAGCTGGTCTGGGAGGCTACCTCTCTGCCAGTTTGGTGTCATGTACGGGAAGCGGGAAGCTGGAGGCTGTGGTAGTCGGGTTAAGCGGTGAACTAGTCTGGTGGAGATGAGTGTAGGATGAGGTAGGATGACTGGTGGCCTTGTGAAGAACTACCAGTTTGGGAGCAAGATAAACACGGGGCAAGGGAGAGTGGTGTCGGTGGATTTGGACCCCTGGGATCCCAGCAGACAGAGTGCTGGTGATGTGGCAGTCTAGGCCATGTTGTCTGTCGTGGTGCTCAGGTAGAGTGAGGAGACCTGTTTGGGAGCAGCCTTCAGTTGGGGTGACAGTGCCCCAGGTACCAGGAGAAGAGGCACCAGGGCATGGTCTGCCCAGGGCACAGGAGGCTCAGCCACTCTTCCCTGATTTCCTCCCCTGCCAGGCCCCAGGGCCTCCAGCTCATCATTTCAGGTCTGTTCATTGAGACCTCCAGGCCAGAGTCCAACCCTAGGCTGAATCGGAGCCCTCTAGCCAAGGACTGTGGACACCAGATTTCCCTTATGAAGGTGGCTACAGTGGCCATAGGCTCAGTGCCCCTCTTTTTGGCTGACCCCAACCCTCTCCCTAATCCTGGTTGCCTAGAGGGTACAGAGAGCCAGGCCCAGAACCTGAAGCTTCCTAGCCCAGACAGCTTGCTAGCCCGAACCTGTGGTTGGAGGAGAGGAAAGAGGCCCAGAGATGCCAGCAGGAAGAGAACCCGAGTACCCTGCCCTCAGGTTACCTCCCCATCATCTCTCTGTGACCCTGCTGCCTTCTTCTCTCAACAAATCCGATGCTGATTCCTTTTCAATAAAATTTTATTTTCAATCCTTAGTGAAGATCTAAGAAAAAATATAAAGTGCTACGTTTTAGGTTGTGGGCAGAGGGAAAGGCCCCCTGATTTTGCGCCATCTGTACTTGCCCAGTTCAGTTCCTCAGAGACGAAAGAGGGTATATCTCAAAATTTAAAAAAAAAAAAAAAAAGTCATCCTTGAGTTCCCCGCCAACCAGGGTCTATGAGGAGTTCAAGGACTAAATCACCACAGACAACCAATGAGAATGATCCCCGTGGGAGGCAGGTCGAGAGCCTGGAGGAAGAGGCTCTCTCAAAGCAGATAGGAGGAACAGAAAGAGGAGAAGGAGGCCGGGTCCTCCAGGCTCTGCACCAGGGACAGGATGGCTGCCTGATCCTCTGGAGTCTTCTCCAGTAAATGTCGGGCAAAGGCCTGCTCCATCTGCACGAAGACGTCAGGAGAGGGGGTTGTGAGCACGGCAGGCGGGGCCGGACACTACGCCCAGGGGCTCTTTCCCCGGGAGGCCCTCTTCCTCCTCAACACCCCACTCCCATGCAGGAAGGCTGTTCTTGCCCTATCCCGACTCACCTGCACTGTGATAAGACTCTGTGGGGTGTGGTTGGGGCCAGGGCTCTCCTCCCAGAAATTCAGTGTCACCTGGAACTCGGGTGCGGGGCCCAGGCCCTGGAAGTACCTGGCCAGGTCTGAGAGAAAAGGTCAAGAGTTGGAAGAAAGAGAAGACAGAGGGTCTCAGGCAGGGAGGGATTGGGGAGGGTCCCATAATGGAGAAAGAGGGGTGGCAGTGGGGCCACTCAGAGACCAAGGCCAGAGCAGGAGCCTCGGGGTGGTGAGGCTGTTGCCTGGTGCCGGGGGAAATGTTAGGAACTAAGCTTCTACTCGCCTGTGGACAAATAGGGAAAGGGGCCCCCTTTTAGAGGTAGCCAGTCGTCACACAACCTGAAACCTGGGGGAGCTGGGGGAGCTTAAGAGTCCTCTCGGCGGCAGCCCTGGCTGCTAACACAGTTGTGCCACACCTCTGTTGCCTGCTCACAGCCTCCCTGCACTAGGGCACCCCGTGGCCCTGGGTCCCCTATACTCTGGGCCCCGACTCCCGAAGTCCAATTGACAGTGGAATGGAGGCAGGAAGTGGGATTCCAAGCGTGGATGGGAGAGGGGCAAGCTGAGGGGCGGCTGAGCGGTGGGCGAGGGCGCATGATGCACGCAGCTCTCGCGAATGTGAGTGGTCGCTGTGCAGGTGTGTCCGGTGTGGGGTGCCACGAGGCGCACCTTCCCATGATTACGCTCCCATGTGGTGGCGCTCCCGAGGTGTGACAGCCTCGTGCTGGGCTTACCTGGTCCTCATCTTCCGCGGCCTTGGCTGGGGAAGGGGGGCTGCCAGGGCTGAGCACTGCACAAGTGCAGGGGCTGTGCCTGGGCTGTGACGGGGGATGTGCTGGAGGGAGCGCAGGGTGGTGGCCGGGCCCATGGAGGGGGAACAGAGGTGGGGGAAGGGGCTCAGGGGCTCGGCGGGAGCAGCCTCACCTCTGCAGAAATAGGCGGTTCTGAAGAGCTCCACACACTCGTTGCTGGGCAGCAGGTGCGGGCCTGGACCAGGTGGAGCCTGGGGCGCGTTCCAGGAGATGGGGATGGGGCAAAGGCGCTGCACGAAGAGGCCTCGGGAGTTGCTGGCCACCAGGACCCCTCTCTTGAGCTGGCTCAGCAAGCGCTGGGTGGGCTCTCGTGGGCCGGGTTTGGGAAATATCACCTGCTCCATGCCGCACTGGGAGCGCGAGGGCTCAGCCACGAGGCGGCAGTCCAGGCTCTGCACCTGGGCCTCACCCACCACACATCCATCGTAGATGAAGGTGAGCAGCAGAGAGTAGTCTGCGGACAAAGAAAGGCCAGCTGCACCGGTGCCCCTCCCCAGGGGCTCACTAGCCAGCAAGAGGCTCCGGAGAAATGAAGAGGGGCTTCCTGCAAATCCAGCATCCTCATTTTGCTGGCAAGGAATGTGAGGCTCAGAGAGAGAAACCAGGTAAGGGCTGGTGAGGACCAAGTAGACCGCAAGGTGGGGGCGGCAGCCGCACCTTCTAAGGATAGAGAAGGCGCCCTCCCTCCTCATCCTCACTGCCAACCCTCGGCAGCCCAGAGGGCTTCCCATCATACTTTCCCATCACTCAGGAGAGGAGCTAATACACAGATTCTCACTGAGGCCTTAATGGCCAGGGCCTTACAGTTTACAAGAGGGTCCCAGAGATCAGTCCTCTACTTAACCCACAGAATCAATGTCTCGAAGTGGATTTCCAGGGAACACAGTGTGTAGGGGGTATTTTTGAGAAGTGAGCTGTTTGGAGTGGTGGCAGGTGCACTGCCTAGAAACCAGTGCCTCTGAGTAAGGCGGCCCCAGTTTGCTGCAAGCCCTGACAGATTAGATAACACACATGTAGCCATAGGAGGACAAGGGAGGATGGGGGCAGGGGTGAGTCAGAAACGCCAAGTACCTGAACCTGGAGGGGGCAGAAGCTCTGGGGACACCAGATCTCCTTGGAGAGGGGCCTCAGCTGTGTCCCTACCTGGGTGGGAGGCAGAGGCACTGGTCATTCAGAGCAGACTGGGGAGTCCAAGGGCCAGAGGGTGTGGCGTGGAGATAACACAGGAGGCAGGGCACTTGGTACCTTCCTGAGGCTCAGGGCTGTTGCTGCTGCTGCTGCTGCTCCCGGAGTCTGAATAGGCTGCTCCCGCACTGGTCTCCACCAGCTCCTACAGACACAGTTTCTATCGTTGGCCCATCTCTCCCCCAGTTACTGTTCTGCCCTCAGACCCACCTGGTTCCCTCCCCAGCTCTCACATTTTTGAGGGGATCCTGGAGCAAGGAGGGGCTGAGTATGCAGTTCTTCGTGGTAACCTCGTCCTCTTTCCTCTCAGAGGACACAGAACTGTGGTGTCGCTTTGATGGTGATTTCTGGGTCCCTGGCTGAGCTGTGGAACGTTGAGAGGGAGAGGAAGGTCAGAGCACAGGTGGGCACAGAGGGAAGGGGAGAGGTAGGAGACAGTGAAAGGATGGGCAGGACTGGCAGGGAACCTGCTCCCCAAGGACAGGGCAGAACTCTGACCGAGGGGCCTGGAGGGAGGCCAGCACCCTCCCGGGAGGCGCAGGGCTCCATCCTTCCTCCCCAGGCTGCTGATCCTAGGAGTGGCGGGGCAGAGGGACACCCACCGGGGAGGGCTCCGGGTGGCAGCAGCCGGTACACCTTGTAGGGCTCAGCCCCATCCCTGTGGCCATTCTCAGGAACCTCCTGGAACTCAGAACTCTTGTTCAGAGCACAGCGCAGACGAGTCTTCCAGATAGCAGGGCCTTCCGAGTCCCCCTCCTTGTACTTTCCCTTAAAGATCGCCCAGGCCTAGGACACAGCAGAAGTAAAGAAGAGGCAGCATGTTGTGGACCGCAGATCCTTTACGGAGGCTGGCTTCACGGATGTGTGGCCTGAGCGCTCACACAGAAGGGCCTATGCTCGGTTTATGCTCAGCTATTGCCACCCTGAGATCCTTACTAAGCTTTGCGTTTCCATCTTGCGTGGGGCTGACAATTACGTAACGTAGCTGGTTCTACCCTGCAACCTCCCCTTTATCTGAAACCCAGGTGGATGCAACCGCTTGAGGGTGACAGTGCCAGTGTATATTCCATCCCTCCCTCCAAGGGGCCGGTTTCCGGGCCTTTCACCTTGAAGAAGGCGGCGTCCTGATCCTCCCGGAAGTCCTGCTTGCCTGCGTGCTTCCAGGGAATCCGGAACATGGTCTTGGCCGCATCTTCCCAGCATACTCCTGGGAACTGCCCGCTCTCCACCTGCTCCACCACCCAGTTCCGGAGCTTCCGGGTGCAACGTGCCCTGCCTGATGCCATCCTGGGGATAGAAGCAGCAGGAAGTGTCAGGGGAACTGATACTTTGGGAAGAGTGAGATCCTGACCCTTGGGGTTGGATTCTGGCAAGGGCCCCTAGAGATCTCATCCATCTTCTTGCCTCTATAGATATAATCTCAAACTTCTGAGGCTGAATTGTTTCATTTCTGCCGTCACTAGCGATGACCAAAAATACTTTCTTTTTAACATCCCGAGCTGTGACATCTAGAAGGGAACCTTAGGCATTGGTCTTAACTTTAAGGTCTTTCAGGAATCTATTGTTCCCCTGGTGTCCTTCTCCTGGTGAGAGGCCCTGTCTGGATCCCCAAGTATTTACAGACACAGTGGCTGCTTGTGAGATGCCTCTTCAACCCTCTTCACTCACCACCCCCACAACCTATCCTTCGATGCCCCCCAAACTTCCCCCCACCCCCACCCCCTGGCTTGTCCCAGGGGTAGGTGGGGCAGGGAGCTGGGGGCAGGGGCAGAGCTGTGGGCAGGCGGAAGTGGGCAGGACCAGGAGGCAAGAAAACAATCAGGGGAGAGCAGCAGTCTTCTTCCCCAAACAACCCGGTAGCAGGTCCCCCTGTCCTTTTCCTAGAGGGCTTGGGACACCGGCCCCCCCACCAGTCTTTCACTCACACCAAATTCCAGCTCCCCGGCTCACAGGCCTTCTGTCTATTCCTCAGTCTAGCAGAGGGGTCCCCAGGAGCCTCTACCCGCCACCTCCAATCTAGCTGGGCCTTCCCGCCTAGACCCAGGCTGACACCTATTTTTGGTTAATCTTACCTGAGCTGCTCTGCAGGCTGTCCCAGGGCGCAGCCGACCTCAGCTCAGCTCCTGGCTAGGCAGCTCCTGGATCTCTCCGCCCCTTTCTACAGTCCCCACCCTAAGTTTCAGTTCTCCTCCAGGGAGGTCCTTTTCCCCGAAATCACGTGGTCTCCGAGTTGCAGGGTAACTGGTTACCACCAGGGGGAAGCAGCGTCTGAGAATCTTGTAGGAATCCTGCGGTCAGAGTATGGAGGAGGGACCCTACTGCCTCTGGCTCACTCCCCTTCCTCCCTCAAGATACTCCTTGCTTGTATCAGACCACCTCTATGGCACTGCTGCTTCCCCAGGGAGGCCGCAGTGTCCCGGAGTCTGGCCTGGGGCCTCTGGATAGCTCTGTACCACTTGTGCATATGTGTTCCCCCACGATGCCTGCTTGGAACCTACTAGGTCACCCCCAAATATCAGTTGAATTCAATGAAAGAAGAAAGGAGGCAGGGAAGGAGGAAGCCCAGGCCAGGTGGCTCGATGGGGAGGGCTGCCCTTGGCCTCCCACAGCTTCAGTTCCTTCTGCCTGAGTCCAGAGAGGGTCAGGTGGCAGGCTGCAGGGGACCTTTAGCAAAGCTCTATTCACACCCCCCGCTTTCCCTGATGCCCCCAGATGGTGGGGTCAGGAAGGAAGAAGGACCACCAAGAAGCCTGGGCAAGGAAATGCCTCTTTATTGGTGCTGGAGGTGTTCCCGGGGCGTCAGATCACGGGCCCTTCACTGGGACCCTTGCCCTCAGCTACTTCCTCCTGCGGGGGATACTCTGTCCCAAGGGCACCTCTTCTATCAGCTTCTGTAGAAGGAGAGAGAAGATGATGATACTGGAAGCCTGGGGCTCAGACACAGTCTGGACAGGGGACTTCTAGAGACTGGGGTCAGAGGTGAGGCTGGGGGAGGCTTTACCTGTAACAAGCGGGCGTGGTAGGTGGCAGCATCCTCCCCAGGCAGCGGCTGGGGGCGCACATGCAGGTAGCGCTCAGCAGCCGTCTCCAGCTCCTCCACCTCATACAGGCTGGCTGGGTCCAGTGAGTGGGCATTGATGAGGCTCACAAGGTACTCTTTGTAGTGCGCCCTGGGGAGACGAGAGGGTGGAATATTTGTTCTTCTGAAGTTTGACTGATATCAACTGAGTGTGTCCAGCACTGTGCTGGGCACTAGCATGCTCAGATGAACAAGACCGACACCCCTTGCCAGTTGCTCTTGTAGGCCCTTGCCTAGAGAGGCCCCTCCCTCCCACTTCTTGCAGGACCTACTGCTTGCAGAGACCCACTCTTCTGCCCAGGCACACCCCCAGTGCTCCTGTGCCCCCAACGCCGTGCTCCACGCCCTGCCTGGCACTCACCGGCAGAGGCCGGCATAGCCAGCAGGAGTCTCCTTGCCACAGGCTTCGTCCCGGAACCCGTTGGGAACTTCCTTCTGCTCCATCACTCGGCAGCCACCTAGGGGTAAGGGAAGGAAGGGACCCTTTGTCCGGAGGGGGCCACTGACCACAAAGGCCCAGGAGAACTAGTATATGGATGGAGGCACGGGAGGCAGCCTCTAGGGAGGGGACTGAGGACAGGAGCCCCTGCTCTAACAGCTGTGCCAGAGATGCCACTGTGCAGACCACTTCCGACACAGAAGCAGGGACCTTGCTGTCCCTGCTTTTAGCCAAGCTGACTTCTGGCCCATAATCATATACTCCCTTGAGACAGCTCTTTTGGTTGTGATTTAGCTCTTGCGAGGTTAGCTTATTCTGTGAAGGTCTTACTCCACACAGATGGTAAGAAGTGGGGCAGATTAGAATCATATATAACATCTTTCTGTTGCCCTCATGGAACCTAAAACAGTGCAACTAGTAAGTCTTTAATTAAATAGTCATGGAGTTAACTAATGAATTACTATCCTTTGGGAATGGGAGAATAAAATTAGCATCGAGGTGCCAGGTGCTTGAATGTGGCCTTACATAAAACAGCTTGGCTGCAAGGTGGATATGGTCCCCATTTTACAGAGGAAGAAACAAACCTGGGGAGGCTGAGTCACCAAAGAGCACAACAAGCAAGCACAGGATGGGCCCTGCGTCCTGGTCCAACCCCAGACCCAAGCCTCCCCTTCATCCATCACACAGGGGGAGCCCAGCCCCTCCTCTTGCCTTCTCCCAGGCCCGATACTCACCTCCAGGCACTGCCCGGGCCCCCGCTGGGGGCTCTGTGTTGAACATGACGTTATTGTCCTGAGGAGGGCAGAAGGATGGGCGTTAGCTTCCCCTGATGCCAGCCTGCTGGATTTCTCGGCATCCAGGCCTTTCCCTTCCGGCCACCCTGTGCCCTGCCTCCTCTCCTGGGCGACTGGCAAACCAGCCAGGCTCGCCGCCCCTGACCTGAAGCAGCTTCTGGAGCCGAGGAGCCGTCCAGTCCCGCAGGTAGAAGAGGCAGTCGCGGGGGTGGTGGCCGTGCAGGGACTTCTTCACCCTGCAGTTAGGGTCTGGACATTTCTGGCGGAAACCCAGATGGGAGAGGGGAAGTTGGAGACTGCTGGGGTCCTGGCCTCTCAGGAACCCCTGCATGAGGCGTGTAGGGGTGGGGGAGATGAGACATTGGAGGGTCTGGAGCAAGCAGAAGGGGAGAGAGGACAGAGAGGTGCTTTACCCCCCACTGTTCTCCTCTTCCCCTGGGCTGTTCCTCAACGGCCTCCACCCCTCACTCCCTCACTCCCGAGGGCAGCCCCACCCAGCTAGTCCTTCCATCCCCGTTCTCTGGGCTCACATTCTTGGCGTAAAAGGCATTGTAGCAGCCACTGCAGAACTGGTGGCGGCACTGGGTGCAGTGAAAGTGCATGCAGCCTCCTCGGGCCAGTGCGTACGAGAACTTGCACTTGGGGCAGTCTGCAAGGGACAGCAGGTCAGGGTTCGGGCTGCCACTGCTCCTCAGGCCCTCAGGAAGAGAGCCGCTGGCAATGAGAGATTACTGGGCAAACAGGCAACCTTACCTATGCCATTTTCCTGAAGGTACATCGCCAAGCCCTGGGCCTGGTACTCCGGGTCGTTGGTGCGTTTCCAGTTCTGGAAATCTTCACAGCTCCGGCCTCGGTGCTGCTCCTCCCACTGCCAGAAGGAAACAAGCTTCCCATGAAAGCTCTATCCCAGGCGCTTCTTGCTGGCCCCTCCACTCAGATCCAGCGGTCTCTGGCTTAGTGTATGGCACTGCCATCCACCATTTGCTCAAATCCCAAACCGAGGGGCCAGCCTTGGTTCTCTCATCTCTTCACACCCGAAACATTCACCGGCAAGTCTTGTTTCCACCACCCAAGCCTAGCTCAACCCTGTCCTTTTCTTCATCCCTACTCTGACCACCTTTACTCCGGGCCAGGTCAGGTCTCGTCTCGATTCCTAGCCTCTATGCCTCCACTCCTGCTCCCCTATGGTTCAGCCTCCACCTTGCAGCCAGTGTGCCTTTGAACATGTAACCAACTGCACTGGGAGTATTCTAGCTTGGAGGTTTGGTGGTAAGGTTGCAGGTCTTCATTTTATTATGGTGTTTTATATGACAGAGGCAGGGACTTCCCTGGTGGCCCAGTGGTTAAGAATCCACCTGCCAATGCAGGGGACATGGGTTCAAGCCCCGGTCCAGGAAGATCCCACATGCCGCAGAGCAACTAAGCCCGTGTGCCACAACTACTGAGCCTGCGCTCTAGAGCCCGCGAGCCACAACTACTGAGCCTATGTGCCACAACTACTGAAGCCCATGCGCCTAGAGCCCATGCTCCGCAACAAGAGAAGCCGCCACGATGAGAAGTCCGCACACGGCAACGAAGAGTAGCTCCTGCTCGCCTCAACTAGAGAAAGCCCGCAAGCAGCAACGAAGACCCAACACAGCCAACAATAAATAAATTAATTAATTAATTAAAATAAGTTAAAAAAAAAGACAGATGCAACTTTTTGGTATCAAATATTGAACTTTCTAAAAGTAAATGAGAGAGCATCACCCCTTGCTCAGTCTTAGAATGAAAGGCCGATCCCTTGCAGGATTGGCCTCACGGCCTCTCCTGACCTGGCAACTAGCTCCTCTCCAACCACCAGCCACTCTCACCCTTGCTCTTGAGGCTCCAGCCACACAACACTTTTTCTGACTTTGGCCTTTCCATGTGTTGTTCTTTCTCTCCCAAATACTCTTTGCATAGTTGGCTTCTTCTTAACTTTCATGCCTGAGCTTAAATCCAGCCATTTTAGAGAAGACTTGTCTAACCTCTCGATCCTGTGTACTAGGTAGCTCCATCCTGTTACTCCTAACCTCAGATTTCTATTTGTTTTCTTCATAGAACTCACGGCGATGTATAATTCTGCTCTCTCTCCTTCCCTCACCCCTCCTCCCTCCCTCCCTGGCTAGCCTGTAACTCTTTGAGCCCAGAGCTCATGTCTGTTCTGTTCTCTAGCACACCCCGCATCTAACAGTACCTGCGGTGGCTCAGCAGGTATTTCCAAAAGGATGGATGTGCCTCACCTGGCGCTTACAGCGCACGCAGAAGGTCTGGTGACACTGGGGACATGTTGCCTCCAGCTGCTCACGCTCGTATATGAAGCCAAAGGAGCACTGTGGGTGCAAGAGCATAAAGCTGTCTGAGGCCTGACCAGGTACCACTCCCCACCCCTCCCTCCGGTCAGCAGCTCTGGGCAGGCCTCTGACCTGGGCACACCACAAGAACTTGGGATCTCGCATGAGCACGCCCTCAGTCAGCTTCTTGTGGAACAGTGCATAGGCATCTGGCTCTAGGCTCTCTCGAAGCTGGGAACAGGATGTGGAAGTGGCGGGTGGGCAAGGCTCCTGTTCAAAGCCCAGGGCACCCTGAGTCCTAGGGACTGCAGTACCTGGATATCGAGGGTGGAAAAGTAGCTGAGCAGCTGTGCGTCATCGGTGAGGTCGGGGCGGCCACAGGCAGGGCACACCATGTCTGTGATGTGTTTCTCCTTCAAGGCAATGGTGAAGTGCTGGCGGAAGCAGTCAGGACAGATAGTGCACTCACAGGAGGTCAGAGCCTGCATCTGGTGGAGGGGAAGGGAAGGGGTGGAAGTGGGTAAGAAGCTACAGTTGCCAGCCGAGGGGAGGGGCAGTAGCCAGGTGTCTGCTATGAAACCGGGGTCTAATTAACAACTGGGCGGGAAATCTAAATGTCTGAAGACCTTCAGATGGAAAAAAACAGACAATAGTGAGACCTAAGGTAAACGGAAGAATGCCCTCTAAAGGCATCCACATTCAACTAAAAGCAAACACACAATAACTGAATCACTTTGCTGTACACCTGAAACTAACACAGCATTGTAGATCAACTATACTCCAATAGAAAATAATAATTTTTTTAAAGTTAATTTAAAAAGGAAAAAAAAGCCGGGGTGGGTGGGTGGTGGTGGTGGTGGATTCCCTGGTGGTCCAGTGGGTAGGGCTCCGCACTTTCACTGACGAGGGCCCAGGTTCAATCCCTCGTTGGGGAACTAAGATCCTGAAAGCTGTGTGGCGTGGCCAACAAAAAAAGCAAACACAAGCAACATCCTTGAAATGACAAAACTATAGCAACAGAGAACAGACTAGTGGCTGCCATATGACAGGAGGAGGGGAAGAAGGTTACAACTATAAAGCGGTAGCACAAGGGGGTTGCATTGTGGTATCTTGATTGTGGTGGTGGTTACACGAATCTACATGTGCGATCAAATGGCATACAACTACACACATACACACTGATGCACAAAATGAACAAAGCCTGCGGTCTAGCTGACATTGTACCAATATCTATTTCTTGGTCTTGATATTGCACTATGATTATACAAGATGTCACCATTGGGAGGGGGTGGATAAAGAGCACACAGGACTCTGTACTATTTTCATAACTGCCTGTGACTCTACAATTATTTTAAAATAAAGACTAAAAACAAAAAACATACAGAGCCAGCCTAACTAAACTGGGCTGTGTTTTGCCAAAGAACTGCCACTTCTGACCTAGAGTAAGTCAGAAGGGGCTCACGAGATAAGAGGGGCCTATTCCTACCAAGTGGGTATTTGATGATCACATTAAAGAATGGTAATTTTTTTGGTGTAACAGTGGTATTTGTGGTTATATTTTCAACGAGTTTTATCTTTTAGAGATACATATTGAAATACTACAGATAAACTATCTGACGTCTGAGATTTGCTTCAAAATAATCCTATGTAGGGGCTTCCCTGGTGGCGCAGTGGTTGAGAGTCCGCCTGCCGCTGCAGGGGACACGGGTTTGTGCTCCGGTCCAGGAGGATCCCACATGCCGCGGAGCGGCTGGGCCCGTGAGCCATGGCCGCTGGGCCTGCGCGTCCGGAGCCTGTGCTCCGCAACAGGAGAGGCCACAACAGTGAGAGGCCCGCGTATCGCAAAAAATAAAAATAAAAAAAATAATCCTATGTATGTGTAGATGAAGTAAAGATTGGTCATACATTAATAATGGCTGAAGCTTGATGATGAATACATCGTGGGGGGAGGGAGAGTGGAATCCATTATACAGTTTTCTCTACTATTGCATGTTCAAAATTTCCCATAATAGAACATTTAAAAAAAAGAGAGGGAGGTGGCCTATTCCTGCCCTCCCCTTCCCAGAAGCCTTCAGGGGCACATGGGCAACTGCAGAGCAAAAGACAAGATCAGAGACAGGGGCTGGGGTAGAGTGGGGATCCAAAGGGAACAGAGCAATTCTAAGGCCAGGGGCAGTGGGGAGGGACTTACCCGGTTGCGGGGCAGGGCCCAGCTGCACACGGCACACTCCTGGGCAAGCAAGCGGCGCAGGAAGGCCCGGTCCTGGCTCTGCCTCACAGCTTCTACCACATCCCCCAACTCATAGTTCCTGGGTGTTTCCTGCAGTAGCGCCAGTGCCAGCTCTGCCCGACCCCAGCTGGGGAGTGCGTGGACTGCCAAAAGCCGTCTGACCAGGCTCTGCAAGGCGATTCAGGTGGAGAGGGAAGAAGTGGCTGTCAGACCGCAGAGAGCCTACCCCTCAGCCTGCCCTCAGCCCTACTAAGTGGGCTCTTCACCTCCTTCCAGCACCTGCTTATCTGGCCCATCCCAGGAAGGGGTGGGCTCAGGACCACTGTCCCAGAGGCGCTGATGGAAGGGCTCTAGGCGCTGGCGCTGTAGCTCAGTCAGGGCTCGTGCCACGTCACCTCCATGTTGGAACAAGGCATGAAGAGACCCCTCCTCAGGCTCAAAGCCCAGAGACCGGAGCTCCTGCACCTGTGAGTTGGGAGCGGCAAGGAGTGAAGAAGAATGTGAGAGGCTCTGAGATCCACAGCCCTCAGTCCTGCACCCCCTCCAGCACAGCTGCTGCTACCTTCCTCCGCCGGGCCCGCACACACTCTT